ACCGTGCTTTGAATCCATTGTTGCAGCCAATGTGTCGACCCAGCTTATTGTGGGTCTTTCCCTGCCCCTCAATGTTACCAAGCATGAGGTGCTTTTCCAGGGCCAGGCCTCTGCTCTGCTGATAACAAGTCCAAAGAATCTGAGGGGACGCCTGGCCATCCTCAATTCTATGCAGCGTTCTGGCCGTACTTCTTCCAAGACAGGTGCGTTTGTTCTCGGGCAGCCCGTGGTACTTTCAGTGTTTTTTCAGCCACTCCACACGTGCACCAGTTCTTCTTCTTCAGTCCTCCTTATTCAGTATCCAACTTTCATGTGCCTATGAGACGGTTGAAAATGCGTAGGTGGCTCAGGTGCCCCTCATACCTGGAGCAAGATGAAATCCTTGACAACTTCAATTGTCGCTTCATTGGCCCTGACCTTGATCTGTTACCTATTCTTCCAGTTGCGATACTTGTTTTCTTTGCCTTGAATTGCAAATCATCCTGAAGGCTGCTGTCCTTGATCTTCGTCAGCAGATCTTGCAGTTCTTCTCACATTAGAGCAAGCAAGAGTGTGTCATTTGCTTATTGCAGGTTGTGTATAAGCCTTCCTCCAATCCTGACGCCACGTTCTTCTTCGTAGAGGCCAGCTTCTCTGGCTGTTTGTTCAGCATCCAGCTTAAATGAGGATAGTGAGAGGATACAACGCTAACACACACCTATCCTGATTTTAAACCACTCAGTATTCCCTTGTTCTGTTTGCACAACTGCCTCTTGAACAATGCATAGGTTCCGAATAAGCACAAGGAAATATCCTGGAATTCCCATTCTCAATGCTACCCAGAGCTTGTTTGGGTTTGATTTGGTTTGGTTTTTTTACCCACCCTGTTGCATGCCTTTGCATAGTCAATAAGACACAAGTAAGCATCTCTCCATCAAGACTCTATATTCCTTCCATCCTCATTTGATGCATCCTGAATCATTCAGTATTCCCATAGAACAGCGTTTCTCAACCTGTGGGTCGCAACCCCTTTGGGGATTCGAATGACCCTTTCACTGGGGTCGCCCGATTCATCACGGTAGCAAAATGACAGTGATGAAGTAGCAATGAAAATAATTTCATGGTCGGTGGTCACCACAACATGAGGAACTGTTTTAAAGGGTCGTGGCATTAGGAAGGTTGAGAACCACTGCACTAGAGTCTTTCAATATTGCAACTCGACGCTTGAGGTTTTTCTTCGGTTCTTTTTGCTAGAGACATGCTAAGCATGTTCTTGCATTTTGCACATTTCATTAATACTTTACTTTGTCTTTTCCAGTTGCCCTTTGAAATTTTCCGTTTAGCTCTTTTACGTCATCATTTCTTCTAATTGCTTTCAGAGTCTCTTCTGACATCCACTCTGGTCTTTTCTTCCTTTCCTGTCTTTTTAATGACCTTTTGCTTCCTTCGTGTATAATGGCTTTTTATGTCATCTGACAGCTCGTAGGATCTTCTGCCCTTAATGTTCAACGTACCAAATCTGTTCTTGAAATGTTCTCCAGGCTCAGGTGGGATATATTCAAGATCAGACATTGGCTCTCACAGACTTATTTAAATGTTCTTCATCTTCAACCTGAACTGACATATGGTCTATTCCAAAGCTGGCCCCTTGTGTTAGTACGGGTTGACTAGAGAAAAAAATTCATAGACACTCATTTGTCTGCGAAAGAGCTTTATATGCAAGAGCAATTAAATATTGAGAAAACATCCCAGCCCAGTCCAATCAAGTCCATAAGTCTGATATTAGCCTGTATGTCCAATACCAATCTATAAATTCCTCTTCAGAATCATGAAACACATGCAATAATGCTGAATTCAGGAAGATCACAGGCCAGTAGGTAGAAAGTCTTGTGGTAAAAGCATCTCAGTGCTGGCAGGGGCCTCCATGTGGCCCCTCCAGCTCCAGGGCTCTGGCTGCATCAGCATAGCTCCATCAGGCTCATGGTCAGTAATATCTCCTAGACAGTGTGTGTCTCTAGCCTCCAGCGAGCTATTTATCTCC